GTCAAACGCCAACCTCTCCCAAAAAGGGATGCTCCCCCCTATCGATCCTCAAAATAATTATTACGTTCATAAGTATGACTTTGAATACATTCCTGAATATATTCAAGACTTCAGATTCAAGATTCAGCGTATGTAACAAGAAACACATCCAACGCAAGTGAACCTAGATCTAATACCTAGGTAGATGCATAGATTTACCAGACTCTGACTTAACCTCTATTCAATACTTGATTGGAAACTCTACCTGAAATCGAACCAGGAAATGAAAACGTAGCTTAGGTTGCTTGCTAGGAACTGTGTGTGACACTGGATTTAGTTTACATAAAGGTTTAATGTTGGTGAAGGGTAGTTGCCAGGGTATGAAGATTAAAAATAGAATTAGTCCGTCAGTTAGGTAATAAAAATATATTAAACACGATTTTTTGTTTACTCATATAAAGTTACAATACAAAATCGAAAAAGTACGTTAAAATTATTTAATTTAAAATAATTTGAATTAATATACCAGACGGATATGAAAATAAAATTTTGGAAACTATCCTAATTACTATGATAAAAGAGTTTTCTCAAAGTCAACGTCAAAGTCAAAGCATTTTTTCAATTAAACCATAATTTGGAGACTTTTGGAGACTTCTAAATTGCCATAAACGAAAAAAAAATTGGTACCTACTTTCAAATACTTTCAATACAAAAAGTAGATTCGAAAGGAGAAGAACGAGCAAGAAACTCCATTCGTTACTCTTTTTAAAAAAGTATGTTCTACAATGTCTCTGATACATATTTCAATACTGTACGCATATGTAAGAACAATGCAAAGACACGCTTGACGCATTATACTAATTACAATACTTACTAAAATAAAAAAAAAACAAAACAAAAAAAATCTTATAGTCTAACATGGTGCTCACATATGCATACTGACAATCCATAAAAAGAAATCTTTTTGAAAGGAACTCTTTCTGCCAATTTTATCTTCATGTCTTAAGACACACATAGGCTTACGGTTACCGTGCAGACTTATGGCAGCTTCAATTCTAAGGTACCTTGAGAAGAGTGGTCACCTCACAGACTGTAAAGTGCTGTATTGTCTGCAATGAAGACATTTTGACATACAATTTTTGTTTGCCTCGACTGCCTCGTTGGCCGAGTGGTCGCAAGTGCGACTGCCGGGCAAGAGGTCTCAGATTCGATTCCCGGGTCGAGCAAAGTATTACTGGGGTTTTTAAAAATTCTCAGTAACACAGAGTCTGGAATTGTGCCCGGTATATGGCAATAGGCTCACCCTCTATTACATGGGGCTCATAACATAAATTGTGAAAAGTGGGTGTTACATTGTACAGTGGCATAATGTTCACCTTTGCCTACCCCTTTGGGGATAAAAGGTGTGATGTTATGTTATGTATTTTTGTTTGCTGATAAAACGGATAAGTTAACAATATGTAGTAGTAAGCCGTGAGTCAAACATAACCGATGAAACTCCTGCAGTATCGACAAATCATAAAGTTTATTTTCAAATGTACGTCGAATTTCTAACAATGTACAGTAATAAAAAAAATAGATAAGCCAAGATCCATGCGATTAAACTTTATTTAGTCAATATTATCTTATCTCCTTTATTATGTTAGTATTTGCAAATGAATTAGGAACGACTTATAAAAGACTTGACAATGTTTAAAGTATTTAGGTTGTATATTTAATTAAACTAACTATATTTAAAATATAATAATCTGTTTTATCCCTAAATAAATAGTTTTATCCGAAATGAAAACATTTTCTTTAATTAATTATATGTAAATGATTATGTTTTCGGCTTACTCACGTCAATGTTTGACGAAGAACTCGACTAGTTTCAAGCCATGCTAGAGACTCATATTTATGAGCAGCATGCCACTGGCTTTTTGCTATTTCGGTGCATTGATATTTTCATACTAACTTATGCCACACTGTGGTTAAACCGTAAAATCACGTGCACTATACTAAAGGTTATTCTTGCGATGTTTAAAAACCATGCCATGTTTTAGCTTACGATTTTTTAACATTCATTCTTTAAATATAGGGTTTTTTCCTTATAGGAATATGTCAACTTAAATTTGAAAATCGCGGGTGGTTTTATGTATTATAACCGTGCAGCGACGTACTCCAACCGTTGGGTTGGGATGGATTTCGCGCGGGAAAAACCCGAAATGTGACCTTAACCTAAGAGAAGAAGGACCAATCGAATCAACTGTTTGGCCGTTTTTCCAGTACCTAAGCTTATCATTTTAATCAATGTATACAAATAATTATCTATTTTAGAGATAGCGATGAGGCTTAATATGAATTCGTGTCAGGAAATAAACCCCGACGACTGGTTTTTTACACTTGTACCTAATATTATGTTTATATATGTTATGTATATCAGTGTATAGATAAAATACATGATCAATTAGTCATTAACCACAGAAGTCATTAAAAAGATTATTTAATCGAATTGTTCAAAACAATCACCTGTATCAAAGGTGTGTTCCTAATTAACCGCAGTGATTGGCAATGTCATTCACAATAACACTGGTTTAATATACATTAGAACTGGCTTCTGTTGTAGCATAATGTAGTAGTTACAATAAGCTGGTATACAAGATACATAATGTGCCTATTATGAATGCTAATACCACGCTAACTACATAACAGAGGGCCTGAATGGTCTGATTGATTTGCTGTGATTTGGAACATTCGCGGTTAGTCTGTTGATATGAAATGGATGGTGTAAACAAGACGTAACATACTATTCATCATCTTCAAAGGGTTAAATAATAGCAAATGGCTTATTTGATTAGAAATTTTAATTTCTTTCGTAACACTGGCGATTCAGATAACTATCAATATTCGTAGACATTTCCCCAGTTAGGCAGCTTGATTTGGGCGAAGAGTGTTGCTACACACGACCTCTTTTAATAGGAATGCTGTAATCTTGTTCCATACATTGATAGCAGATACTTGACGAAAAAACCAAAATAAATATTATTATTATGAAAAATCGTAATTGACGCAGTAGACTTTAATAGATGATGTCATTAGTTGCAACGTCAGGTGGGGAATTCACCTGATGCGATGTTATTGTTGTTAATCTATTACCGTATAATTATATGTACATAACATCACGCCTTTTTATCCCCGAAGGGGTAGGCAGAGGTGCACATTTCGGCATTTAATGCCACTGTACAATGTAACACCCACTTTTCACTATTTATGTTATGAGTCCCATGTAATAGGGGGTGAGCCTATTGCCATATACCGGGCACATTTTTCCAGACTCCGTGCTACTACTGAGATTTTTAAAAACCCAGTAATACTTTGCCCAACCCGGGACTCGAACCCGAGACCCCTTGCCCGGCAGTCGCACTTGCGACCACTCGGTTAATGAGGCAGTCAAACTTACCTTACCTTATCAAACTTAGATAAAACGAATCAAAGTTTAGGAGAGGGGGCTAAAACGTCATTTTTACGTATCAAAAGTACATAGAACTGACGTAATACGACATTTCAAATCAATATATCGTCGAAAGTATTCGTTTCTGTAAGAAAATAAACAATACGTGTCTAATGATTTAAAATAATCTACAAGACGGACATTAAATTAAAAATTAGGCATCTACCCTATTGGGGATTTGGGGATCTTGAGTTCCCTATTTCGTCTGAATGGGTAAGTAAGAAGAAATGCATTAGTTATTTCTTGAGACAAAAGTGTAAATACTTATTGTTACGACCAGGTTTAGCTTTAACTACATAATAATGTAGATTCCAGTTTCATCTCTAGATATCGAGGAACATAGATAGGCTGATCTCTTTAGTCTGATTATTATTTTTTGCAATATCGACGTCTCGTTTTGACTACTTATATAGTGTTGATAACTAAAGGTGCCCGCAACCAGTTTTGCAAAATTATACCGACGTAAAAAATGGCCTAACAAATGTTATTAAAAATATCACGTGTTTCTTAGACACCAGACACTATCATGGCTAGCGTATTAGTCTTAAACTCGTTTTTATATAATAGTTGATATACTTCCTATATAAAAGACAGAATTTAGAATGAACTTCACATCTAGTTTTCGTGGTATGGGTACGCAATTTTTTTTATGGCATAAGCCGGTAAACGAGCAGACGGATCACCTGATGGTAAGCAATCGCCGTCGCCCATGGTCACCTGGAACACCAGAGGCATTACAAGTGCGTTACCGGCCTTTTGGGGATTAAGAGTTAGAGGATGGGGAGATTGGGGAAGGGGAGGGGAATAGGGCCTCCGGTAACCTCACTCACACGACGAAACACAACGCAACCGTTGCTTCACGTCGGTTTTCTGTGAGGTCGTGGTATCACTCCGGTCGAGCCGGAGTTTTTTAGTATCTAAAATTTGATTTATTACGAAGAATTTTCAAGGCATTTAAATACACAGTAGTAGCATATCTTCGTTATCCTTATTTCTTGTTTTACAAAATAAACTCTTTCTTTACTAATTCGCAACGTTTCCATTCTTACTTAAACATAGTTTTACATAGTTTTGTATGTTATAAGTAATTCGTATGTTAATATGAATGCTAATTACCGTCTGTGTTCAATTTTCAAGCATAATATTGTCACACTTGTCTGCTATGAAATAAGTAGAAATAATGGGACTTAAGTTGATCCATCTTGGAAAACTTTTTAATGCACACAAACTTAGGTATCTGCTTAAAACATCTTAGCACATTGACGATCGAAGGAAGGAATAAGACAGACGGTTAAAAAACCGCGAACTCAGATGCGGTATTTCCGATTTTGCGGTGTTGCTTTTCTTGTAGGATTCGTTTCGTTAACTTCAATTCGTTACTTACGCGGTTAAAAACCCCTACAGTTTAACTATAGCGAAACAGTAAATGAAGATAGTATATAGATATAATCAAATGTTTTAACGATATTTTTGTATTTTGTTTGTGTAACACAAAGTTACGCGTGTATAACATTAAGTTAGTTTAACTCACCGTCTTATCCAGCAGGAAGCTAGCGGGGAATATGAGAGGGATGTACGTAATCATGTAGATCATCGAGGTCCAGTACACCTGGATACTCGACACATCGTAGTACTTCACGATGGCGTCCTGGATGATCGTGTACTGTATCCATTGCATCGAGTTCGACGCCGAGTTGAAGACAAACACGAACAGAACCAGCCATCGGATAGGGTACACCACGTATTCCGTCGCTCCCTTCTTAGTAGGGGACTCCAACACTCCCCCCTTCTCAGCCACACCGTCCATAACACTTCCACAAACTTCCATATTCTTTTGATCAGTCATCTTTTGTAAAGATATTTACGGATATATTATTATAAAATAGATATCTCTATATTTTATTTATTGTCGTATTGTTGTCTCAATTTGGCATCTAAATGGCACTAGTTAACTATGTCTAGGTACGTATAATAAAATTTTGGATAGAAACTATTTAATTTATTTATTGTCAGGTTTCCCGCGCGCGCGTGTTTGTGTTGCGAGGCGCAGGCGTGTAGCTCGCGCGGCGGCCGGCCGTCGACTGTTTTCCATTTTCCTGCAATCAGAAGCTGAATGGAATGCTTCCCGTGCAGGGTGCCGTGCGTGGCGTGATGATAACAAAGACGCCGCCTGCTAGACCAGCTGTCTGTCAACACTACAATCAAATGATTGCCATCGTAAATAGGATGTAGATTACAGCTCACCAAACAGTTTTTATTGTGCGAACTTTGCTTGTAAAGTGGATGCGTGCTCTCGCTATCTCAGCGCGTAAGATATTCACGGATAGTGCGGCTGATGTGACAGCTCAATGAGTAATACTTTGTACTAAGTACAGTAAAACACGTTGGTAACCGATATCTCGCGATGATAACATATAAATGCCTATTATATTGATAATCTAAATTGTTATAGGATCAGACGATGATTTGTTTGTTTTATTTTTTGTTGGATAAAAATATTAGTGATTGATCTTTGACCGGAATAATATCAAGTAAATAAATATTTTATTGAAATCCATTTACTTTAATAATACCTAGAATAAGGTTATTTATCACTATTTACCTAAATACATTTGTCACCCAGGTACTTACATGTATTAAATTTCACCTATAAACCACGTTTCATAGCAAATCCGTATAACCATGTGAGGAACTCCAGTAATGCCGTAATGCGCTTGTTTTGTTTAAACAGTGAGTCGAAGGGAAACAGCTCGGTCATTTCCGTCGATACACCGACACACGCTGGTTCTCACAAGCTATGTATCAACATAGTTGGGATACGGCTGCTGACGCCCGTCCCGTCACCGTGACACGCATACTTAGGGTGCCAATACTACCAGCTGGTATAACTAAAAGATATCATGGTAATAAACGCTTGTACGGTACCTACGCTTCGTCTTATTTTGACATATCACTTGATGGTAGATAGGTAAGCAATTAAGCGATCAACGTGGGAGTACCTACGTCTACCAATAAGCTATGTCCAAAACCATGTATACCTACCATATACATGTACCATACCCTAGGTACACCTGTGTCAGTTGTTCAATATCAACGTTGTGTTATAAAGAAAAACATAAAAATTCACATTGAGATGACAGGTACCTACATCTCCTAAGGAAAAAAACATTTCATAGATAAGTCAAATTTACGCGAATTATGTGTCATATCTGTTTACCGTTCATCATGTTCACGTTGGGAATACTAAGTACAATAATAATATTGTGTGTAGGTATACAAAAATATCCGCTTTCTAACAATCTTTTATTTAATAACATAAAATCGGTCAAGGCAGCCTGAATTCATGATAAAACCTTATTTACCAAAGTTTCAGTATTTACAAAATGATATTAAATAGCAATTAAGAATTCATTTATCAGATATCTTTGGCAGATAAGTCTAAACTTCTCTTTAGAAAACTTTTTAGTATGGATTAGGAGGAGGTAAACTGAGAATATGGCTCTAAGCCCCGAAACGGCATCAGTTGGGGACTGCACTTCAAAATCTACTAGATGAAGCTAAGAACCTGACAAGATATTTGGTTTGGACTGCCTCATTGACCGAGTGGTCGTAAGTGCGACTGCCGGGCAAGGGGTCCGATTCCTGGTCGGGCCAAGTATTACCGGATTTTTCAAAAAATTCACAGTAGTAGCACAGAGTCTGGAATTGTGCCCGGTATATGGCAATAGGCTCACTCCCTATTACATGGGACTCGTAACTAACATAAATAGTGAAAAGTGGGTGCTACATTGTACAGTGGCATAATGTACACCTTTGCCTACCCCTTCGGGGATAAAAGGCGTGATTTTTAGGACATGTGGTTAAGAATCAGGATTGTCTGTATTTCCTTTTTGTAAGTTAGGTTTTCTTCACTAGCAGACAAAACCATAGTGCTGCCTTAAGTATGAAAATCTGAAACAACTAACCACAATACAATGCTGTTCATAAAACATTATCTACTAAAAATCCCTCTACATTTGCACCCGTTAAAGTTTCCAATATCAAAATATAATTAATAGCGATAATATTTTAAATCCGCCATGTTGAATGGGGATCATTGCGCAGTGAGCACGTTGTCGTTAAAATATACCCCGTCATGTCCGGGAATGACAATGGACGCCACATAATTTATCAATGGTGTCCATTACATAGCTGTTTTATATAAATAGTTGTGCATTTACTGTGAATCGATGGTGATATTGTATGATTTTGGCATAAACATGCACTATGAAACTTGTATACGTAGGTACCTACTATGTCAAGTTACTAATGATTTTAATCTCGTATATTAGAAAATCGTTTGGGGACCCCTAACGATTTTCGAATAGATAAGTAGGTAGTTCCTAAGTAGGTACTGAGTAATATTTTTAGTTAAGAGAAATAGAACCGTTGTTTTCAATGTTGAAATAATGGATGAAAACGAACCTATCTAATGCGTTTAGCAATAAAATCCTCAGCTATAACAATAACAAAAGTCTTTCTTGCCCCTTAAAGCAAAGAATGGAGTGATATCTAAGTATTGAAGCGTCATACGAACCTATATACCTGGGAACTATAATTAAATTCATCTCTTACCCCTAAACGTTCTCATTTTAATGTCATTAAACGCAACTTGGATTAACAAAATTCCTTAGTCAACCAGTTTGGCTAATGACTACCCAAGTTAAAGATACAAAATTAAATTTCCAACTTTATTTGTTTTGTAATAAAGTCGATAATAGATTAAAGATTGGACAGTAAAGAGTAGCTTGATGAGCTAGCACCTGTGCCTATAATAGATAAGTAATTATAACTCTGTTAATGAGTTGGAGGCAATCTCTGCAAAGTGGCACTCGTTAGCGACGTAGCCAGTGCCTTTAGCCAAACGCCACTTTAGCGTTTGTCTACAGAGAGAGTAGAAATCAAAATGTATGGGGATAACACTGACATGTGTCAAAATTTACGTCAATTCCATATAATTTGGTTTTCTATTCTACATGTAGACAAGCGCTAAATGGCATTTGGCTACAGCTGCTGTTGAGACAGAGAAACAAGCTGTTGTCAATAATTTTTGTTATTTCATCAGTTACAGTATGTTTGTTGAAGTTATAATAACGAAAAAGATTATTTTCGAGATATGAGCTCAAGCTAAACCGAAGATAGAACCACAAACCTTTTGCTACCACTCACGGTTAATATACCACTCGATTATCTTCCTAGGAAAAGCATAACTTACTTTAAACCCTAACAAGCTAATTATTACAATAATAATAAATTATTATGATCGTACAACTTCCAGCGACTCATATTTTCAGTATATTCTGTTGTTAGAGTACACATTACATTAAATTACAAAGCTCTACGAAAATTAGAAAAGTTGGAACGATACAATTACCCCACTACGCCTTTTCCACACCGTCTACAGGTGGGGTACTCATAAACTTTCACATTTCGCAAACAAAATTTCAATTTAGATTGCGCAGTTAACTCCACTTCCATACAGCACTTAATTGACAAAACAGGCAATGTAAAAGTCAAACGTATTAATTTTCTTTTCTCCTTGTGTACTCGAGTACCGTAATTAAGGAGAACAATAGAGGACGAGTTTGTGCTACTTATAGTTAATTATGCTGATCTAAATGAACGCTGAATACTTCAGGAGTTAATGAACACTGACCCTGAATTTGTAAGAGAGAAACTAATCACTGAACCACTTTGAACTCATTTCGATGCTGATTAAAGATCGGGGGAAAACTTCTGCCACAAGGCTTCTTTGTTACCTATGACAACAGATAAAAAAAAAGTTATATTTCTTACCACCATTCTGTAGATAATCAGGAGAGAGACTTTCAAGATTAAATTGAGATAAATAGAACTACCTAATCTAAATTATCATTGACACTTAATAAAATAATGCTGTAGGTTCATCTCTACATCATTGAAATGTCTCCTTTGCAACGCCTGCAAGATTCAAAATCTATTTAAAGACAATATTTGGCTGCATATCTAAATCTTCCTTCTTATTTACTAGCCATCTCTTACTATTATTTTGAATACAACCGGTACCATTGTACGGACTGCACTGTTTGCTACGCAGAACGCTGGTCTTTTGTTCCGCGACAAACATTTTATTACGAATCTTCAATGTCAACTGTTCTGAACATCTCTTGTTTAATTCTTTATCTATATTAGGAAATGTAAACTTGTAGTTCCGAACAAAAGCCTTTTTATAATTGTAACTATTTAATTGTCTATTTATTTATTTATTTGTTTGTTTGCATTTGTATAAAGATAAAATCTTAAACTATCTTATAGGTTGAACTGGCTGGAACCGAGGACTTATGAGGAAATGATACCGCTAAGTTAAAGGTCCGAATTACCAAATTATGATAACTCAGAACACCACTAAAAATTTATTGAGGAACATCATAAGAAATCCCATTAAAATGACCTATCTTAAACAATTAATTTATGTTAATTAATTAATTATAAACATACACCTAATATCCTTTTAACTAACATCGTTGTTTGCCATTCTCACGTCGACGTTGCCGTGCATTAATGGTTCTGCTCAGCCCCTCAATCAAAGGTATAAGAAGACTATTGGCGATTTGTGAGAAATATGCGCGAGAACACAATTTAGTATATAACGCGAAGAAAACTGAAATGCTTATATTCAGATCAGGAAGAGGTCCACTTAATGTCCCACCAGTTTGGCTAGGAGGTCAGATTGTTAGAATAGTAGAAAGTTTCAGGTACCTTGGTCACATGCTGACGTCAGATATGAAGGACGATGCTGACATAGACAGACAACGCAGAGCATTGTCA